TATAATTATTTTCAATTTGGGCCCTTATTTGTAATTATTTTCACTTTTCGGGCCCCTATATGTAAATTCCCCTAAAATTAATATCATGTGCGACACTGTTAGTATTTATTGTTATAATCCCACAATTATTCAAATATTATGTATCAGTGCATAGTATGACATATCTAGTGTTTTTAATCGATTAAGGTTTATTCAAATTTAATCGAATAAGAGTTTTTATGCGAATATATTTGAATAAGTTCTGCTAATAGAATAAAGATTTTTTATTCAACTAATCATATATTCAGACTTAAAATATATCTTACCCTAATCATAAAATACAATATCTCAGTACAACTATATTTAAAAAATTAAGAGATTATGTAACATGTTCTTTTTTTAACGTTAGCGTTAAATAAATTTAATCGGGATTGTTCCATTTCGGCATAATAATGTTTTATGTGTGCTATTTTGAAATAAGGTTTTTATTACTGCTATAAATTGAATTGTTTTCCCATAATATAGGGGCAGAACACATATATATAAATTTCGATTAATATTTAAGACAAAACATGTGTTATGTAAATTTTTATTATGAATAAATTGTTAATTCTATAATTATACGAAAGACTGTAAATTTTATGCCGTACTTTTTTATCTATGTAAGCTATGTACGACGAATTCATTTGTAATAGAAATTATGCATTCTCACATATTCGAAATACTTCATAATCATCTATTGAAAACAATCCATTCGCACTTCTTATTGGCGATTTGTAAGTATTACCATTACTGCGATATGACCATTGTTTAGGGTTACAAGAACTAGCAAATCCAAAATTATAAAACCATGGACCACGATCTTTACTATAGTAAATTGCAATTGATTTATCATCTACACGACTAAGAATAGATTCTTGCATATTTCCATTTTTTAAAGAAAAAATAAAGCTACCAGGTGCACTTTTGGATTCGAGTTTCTTTCCAGATTTCCAGCAAAGAGGATTGTATCCACCAAGTATTTCATTTGAATTTTTAACCTTTAAAACAACTATTACGCCAGATATATCATCACATAATTTATGAAATATTTCAACATCGAATCCATCCCTACTACCTCTTAGTAGCAGTTTAAACTCGTATGGAACTTCTATATTATCATAGGTTGTTGAATGTCGATCAATCCAAGAAGAAATTTCCGCTGCATGTTCCATAGTGATTATGGAAGAAGATATTGAATTGTGAGGAGGAAGCTGCTTTGATAATTTTTTACGAGGAGGCAATATAGTAGAAGTAATAGGCTTCTTGGGTGATAGAAATTTTTGAATAATATCATTCCACAAATTCTTTTCAAGTATTTTTTTATAAGGCTGTAATTTTTCTGAAACTTCTTCACCAGGAATTTCAAAATACCTAATATGAGGCAAACAATTTTGAAGTGTAATTTGTAAAGATTTGAAATCTTCCTTATTCCATTGTTCATGATTAGAAGGTAAATTT